TATTTACAGAATTCTTCACCCCAGGTCCACAGAACATACATTTTTTTTTTTAGTATCACATTACACATATTTTGAAAGTGACCACACAAATGGAAGCAAATCACTCTTCAGCACTTGCACAGCATGTCACAGATTTAAACGAAATATTGGTTGGCTGTTTGTTTGTTATTTTCTTTCCTTATTCCTTCCTGTCTCCACTGTTAAGCACAATCATCAGCATAAAAGGGGTTTTTAATAACTATTTCTAGATTGCGTTCCAGCCTGGGCAATAGAGCAAGACTCCTGTTCTCTCTCCCCCTTTTCTCTTTCTCTTTCTTTCTTTCTTTAAAAAAAAAAAAAGAAAAAAAACAAAACAAAACACTAATGCCCCATTCCCTACCCGCCCCCACCCACCTCTGGCAGACACCACTCCCCTTCCTGTTTCTGGATTTGACTCCTCAAGTGACCTCGGTAAGTGGAATCATACAGTATTTGTCCCTTTGTGGCTGATTTCACTTAGCATAATGAACGTCCTCAGGTAACTCCCATAGTCCAGGAGGTGAAGGGCAGCCCTCACTCCACGAGGCACCTGCAGCTCCACCCTGCCCTTGGAATCCCAGAGAGCTACTCCCTTGATAACTGTGATGGCAGCCTCAAAAGTCACTTCTGTCCCTTTATTTCCTTCCCTCTGGAGCCCAAATTATGGTACTCTCAATTTAAAAGCCCTTAATGGTGCCATAGAGCCCATGGGACAGTGGTTGGGTGCGCCAAGGGCCCATCGGGACCAGGCTCAGGATCCTCTCCATGCCCGGCCTGTGTTACAGCCTCACCAGATCCTGTTCTGGTCCCTGCACTTCACCCCATAATGCCCTCATTCTTCAGAAATGTCCTTCCCTCGCCCTGGAAAACTCCTATTCATCCTGAAGAACCCAACCTACATGCTGCAACCTCTGAGGCTGGTCCTGTCCTGTCATGGACACCTGTGGTTTCTGGTCATCCAGTATCTAGCCCCACTCATTTTTTTTTCCCCAAGATAAGGTCTCCCTCTGTCACCCAGGCTGGAGTGCAGTGGCACCATCATGGCTCACTGTAACTTCGATCTCTTAGGCTCAGGTGATCCTCCCATCTCAGCCTCCAAAGTAGCTTGGACTACAGATATGAGCCACCACACCTGGCTAATTTTTTATTTTTTTGTAGAGACAGGGTCTTGCTATGTTGCCCAGACTGGTCTTACACTCCTGGGCTCAAGCAATCCTCCCACCTCAGCCTTCCACAGAGCTGGGACTATAGGTCTGTGCTACCATGCCCAGCTAATTTTTTGCATTATTTTTTTTTGTAGAGATGAGGATTCACCATGTCACCCAGGTTGGTCTTGAATTCCTGGGCTCCAGCAATCTTCCAGCTCAGCCTCCAAAAGTGCTGGGACTACGGGCATGAGCCATCATGCCTGGCCTCAACAAGGTTTTGGAATACATCAATAAAGCAACTAACCAGGTGTGGGTAGTGGACAAGGCAGGGACGCTCACCACACGCCAGACCATGCTGGTCCCTTGTGGGACACAAGAGGGTTTGAACAGCCCCAGCCCATTCCTGCTCTGAGGGGCTTGCAGTCTGGCTGGGGAGAGGTGTGCAAAGGTGCAGTACCTGTGGGGCCATCCCCTGCTCATTCCTGAAGTCTGAGAGGCCTGGCACTTGGGATAAGCCTGGAAGGGTGGGCTGTGCCTGGATGAACCTGAAGATGTGTTTCTGCACTGCTGGGGTTTCCAGGCAAATCTCACTTCCTACTTCTCCCTGCACATTTGTCAACTCAGCTTTTCAGTCAAGGAGGAAACACACTGAGACCTGCTGCTACTGAAAGGACAGCTCCCCTGGGCATAGGCACAGAGGCCACTGCCCCAACACTGCATAGTATCAGCCCATTGCTTATTTGGCACCTACTGTATGCCATTCTGCGTGCATTTCCTCACAGTCGATCTACCAAATAGGCATTCTTTTTTATTTTTATTTCTTTATTTTGAGATGGAGTCTCACTCTGTCACCAGGCTGGAATGCAGTGGCACAATCTTGGCTCACTGCAACCTCCGCCTCCCAGGTCCAAGCGATTCTCCTACCTCAGCCTCCCGAGTAGCTGGTACTACAGGTGCGCGCCACCACACCCAGCTAATTTTTTTTGTATTTTTAGTAGAGACAGGGTTTCACCATGTTGGTCAGGCTGGTCTCAATCTATGACCTTGTGGTCCACATGCCTCGGCCTCCTGAAGTGCTCGGATTACAGGCATCAGCCACTGGGCCCAGCTTATTTTTCAGATTCTCCTAGGAGCCTGAACCCTATTGTGAACTGCACATGTGAAGGATCTAGGTTGCATGCTCCTTATGAGAATCCTTTTTTTTTTTTTTTGGAGACACAGTCTTGCTCTGTCACCCAGGCTGGAGGGAGTGCAGTGGCACAATCCTGGCTCACCAAAACCTCTGCCTCCTGGGGTCAAGCAATTCTCCTGCCTCAGCCTCCCGAGTGGCTGAGGTTACAGGCACCTGCCACCACACCCAGCTAATTTTTGTATTTTTAGTAGAGACGAGGTTTCACCACATTAGCCAAGCAGGTCTCAAACTCCTGGCCTCAAGTGAATCACCTGCCTCAGCCTCCCAAAGTGCTGGGATTACAGGCGTAAGCACCCAGTGTATTTTGTTTGCTTATTTTGAGACATGGTCTCGAACTCCTAGCCTCAAGCAATCCACCGGGATTACAGGCATGACCATGATGCCCAGCTGAAGAGGGCATCTTCATCCCTCTTTCATCCATCCCTACAGCTGCCCACCTCGCCTGGCCATATTCCTGTCTGAAGTGTTATCACATAGCTATTATCTGTTTTCTGCTTCCCACACAAGAATGTGAGCTCCAGGAGGGTGGGGAATTGTCTTGGTCAGCACTGCCTTGGCTACTTCCAACAGGTGCACAGGGCAGCTGTAAACTCTGTCAATATCAACACATTCCTACAACTCCTGAACTCATGCAGGTATTGGGCTAGACATGACTTGCATAAAAGACAATTGCAATTATTTACACTGGCAACTACATGGACATTGAACCCTCGGCTTGAGCGACTTCCTTTTCATGCAATTCAGTCTCATTTCCATAAAATATTTCAATGTTATTGAACTGCTTTGGACTTTAAATTTTTAGTTATTCATCTTAAATTTATATATTTTGCCTTTTATTTTATTAATTATTATTATTACTATTTTTAAGATGGAGTCTCACTCTGTCACCAGGCTGGAATGCAATGGCGCGATCTCGGCTCACTGCAACTTCCATCTCCCAGGTTCAAGCGATTCTCCAGCCTCAGCCTCCCAAGTAACTGAGACTACGGGCACGTGCCACCACGCCTGACTAAGTTTTTGTATTTTTTTAGTAGAGACAGAGTTTCACTGTGTTATCCAGAATAGTCTCAATCTCCTGACCTCATGATCCGCCCACCTCGGCGTCCCAAAATGCTGGGGTTACCTCAGCGTCCCAAAATGCTGGGCCACCGTGCCCAGCCTATTTTACTGTATTTTTTTAGAGATGGAGTTTCTCTGTCACCCAGGCTAGAGTGCAGTGGCACAATCATAGCTCACTGCAGCCTTGAACTCCTGGGCTCAAGGGATCCTCCCACCTTAGCCTCCCAAGTACCTGGGACCACAGGCACACACCACCACACCCAGCTAATTTTTTTCTTTTTGTACAGATGGAGGGTCTCACTTGGTTGCCAAGGCTGGTCTCAAACTCCTGGCCTCCAGAGATCCTCCCATCACAGCCTCCCAAATCACTGGGATTACAGGCATGAGCTGTCGCACCTAGAATGTTAGACTTCTTATGCACCGAATATTAAAATGGTATCTCATTGTGCACTGTCTTCGTTACCCCTGAGAGGGAGCAGTTCTTCACATGCTCACCTGTGTTCTCTTCCAAGAAATCTCTGTTCATGTATTTTACATTTTCTAATGGGTTGGTTTTTTTCTATTTCTTATTCTCCATATAGTTTGGATATTCATTACTTATTAATTAAATGTGTTGCAAATATGTCCTTCACACTGTGGCTTGTCTTCTACTCTCTTCATGGCATTTTTGATGAACAGAAACTGAATTTCTTTTTCCTTTTCTTTTTCTTTTTGAGACGGGGTCTCCCTCTGTCACCCAGGCTGCAGTGCAGGGCGCAGTCTCCGCTCACTTGCATCCTCAATCCCCAGGCTCAGCGTTCTGAGTAACTGGGACTACAGGCACGATCCACCAAGCCCAGCTAATTGTATTTTTCGTAGAGATGGGATTTTGCCATGTTGCCCACACTGGTCTCGAACTCCTGGGCTCAAGCAGTTCTCCCATCTCGTCCTCCCAAAGTGTTGGGATTACAGGCATGAGCCACCTTCCCCAGTCTGAAACTTAATTTTTAATGTAATCAAGTTCATCAATCTTTTTTTAAACAATTTGTACTTCAAGTACCTTCAGAAACCTTTACTTATCCTGAAGTCAAAAGTTATTCTTTTATAGATTCTCAAAATTTTCAAGTTTTTTATTTATTTCATTTACATCTTTCATCCCTCTAGAAGTGTATTTTCTCTATGGTGTGAAGTAGGGCTCCTGTTCCACTGTTCTCATCTGAACAGAGAACTGTCTCAGTACCATGTACTGAGTAGATCATCCCTGCCTAGGTTTATCAACAACACCATATTTCGTAAAAATAAAATGCCTTTTAAAAAGTTGAGATGGGATCTTGCTACGAGGCCCAGAGTGTTCTCAAACTCCTGGCCTCAAGTGATTCTTCTGCCTTGGCCTCAAGTGTAGTTGGGATTACAGGCATGTGCCACTACACACAGCTTAAAATGCCTTTACATGCATGAATCTGTTTCAGGCCTCTCTATTCTACTCCACTGGTCAGTTTGCCCACCCATGCACCAACACCACACTGTCTTAATTCTTACAGCTTTATCATATGAATGTTTCTTTATGTACAAAAAGCATTCCAGGTGACCAGATGGTTACTTACATCAAATACTCTGGGACAGAACCTAGGAATTAGCTGGCCCATCCATCCATTGAGAAACAGAGGCTCCAAGGAGAGCATCTTTTGCAATGTCACACAGCATTAATTTGGAATACTCTCACCACAGAAGATATCAATATGGTAGACACGAACCACATGCGGTTATTGAGTACCTGGAATTGACAAGTCCAAATTAGATGGGCTGTAAGTATGAAATGCACATTAGATGCTGAAGGCTTGTGGTGGAAAAAAATACAAAATACCTCATAAATAATTTGTTCATATTCATTGCATGTTGATATAATAATGCTTTGGAATAAAGAGTTAACTAAAATATATTCTAAAAATTATAATAATTTCACCTGTTTATTTTTACCTTCTTATAACAAGATGGAATATTAGGCACACGTTAAACTGAATGTCTACTAGAAAATTTAAAGCTGGCCAGACACGGTATCTGACTCCTATAATCCCAGCACTTTGGGAGGCCAAGGCAGGTGGATCACCTGAGGTCAGGAGTTTGAGACCACCCTGGCCAACATGGTGAAACCCCGTCTCTACTAAAAAATACAGAAATTAGCTGGGTGTGGTGGCGGGTACCTATAATTTCAGCTACTTGGGAGGCTGAGGAAAGAGAACTGCTGGAACCTGGGAGGCTGAGGTTGCAGTGAGCCAAGATCCCGCCACTGTACTCCAGTCTGGACTGGCAACAGCGAGACTCCATCTCAAAAAAAAAATTAGCCAGGCATGGTGGTATGTGGCTGTAATCCAGCTTTCTGGGAGGCTGAGGCAGGACAATCGCTTGAGCCCAGGAGGCGGAGGTTGCAGTGAGCCGAGATTGTGCAATTGCACTCCAGCCTGGGTGACAGAGTAAGACGCCGCCTCAAAACTAAATAAATAAAATAAAGCTACATCTGTGGCTTGTATATTTCTCATGGACAGCCCTGGATTATACCACTAAATTCATTCAATCAGCTGGGTGCAGTGGCTCATGCCTGTAATCCCAACACTTTGGAAGGCTGAGGCAGGAGGATCGCTTGAGCCCAGGAGTTCAAGAGCAGCCTGGGCAACATAGTGGGACCTCATCTTTACAAATATTTTTTAAAAAATTTGCCAGGCCTGGGGGTGCACACCTGTAGTCTCAACTTCTCAGGAGGCTGAGGCAGGGGAATCATGTGTGCCTAGGAGTTTGAGGCTGCAGTGAGCTATAACCATACCACTGCATTCCAGTCTGGGCAATAGAGTAAGATCCTATCTTTTAAAAAAAAAAAAAAACCACGGCTGGGCGTGGTGGCTCACAGCTGTAATACCAGCACTTTCGGAGGCTGAAGCGGGTGGATCACGAGGTCAAGAGATCGAGACCATCCTGGCCAACTTGGTGAAACCCCATCTCTACTAAAAATACAAAACTTAGCCAGGCCTGGTGGTGCTAGCCTGCAATCCCAGCTATTCAGGAGGCTGAGGCAGGAGAATTGCTTGAACCCCGGAGGCAGAGGTTGCAGTGAGCCAAGATCCAGCCTGGACAACAGAGTGAGGCTCCATCTCAAAAAAAAAAAACAAAAAAAAAAAAACACTTCATCAAGAAGCCTGTATTACAGACCTAATTTACGGACAGTACAGTGGTAAGGGTTCACAACGAGGAAGGGAACAGAAATAGGACTGATCCATGTGATCCATTTCCTCCTTGGAACCATCGCTCATAGAAGCCACATCAGCCCAAGTGTCACAGGCTGGCCCACGCCCCAGCTCCAGATCCCCATTCCAATTCCAGAGCAGGCAGCACGAGTGTCCAAATCTAGAGATCATTTAAACCAGCTCTCCTGACTTCACAGATCAACCTGCTGGGGTCAAGAGAGGTTGAGACATCTTTCAGGGTCACACAGCACGTGTGGGGCAGGCACAGGCTGGCTGCAGAGACTTCAGAGCTCCTTTCCTTCATGTCGTCATTAACAGCCTTCAGCCCAGGGCTCCTCCCTTTCCCGTGAACAGTCCACCAACTTACATCTCACAAAATCCCCTGGAACCAGTCTTTACAAGTCCAAGGGCCCACTCTGGCCAGCCAAGGTGAGAGGATCACTTGAGGCCAGGAGTTCGAGACCAGCTTGGGCAACATGGCAAGACTCCAGCAATACAAAAATTCGCCGGGCGTGGTGGCGGGCGCCTGTAATCCCAGCTACTCGGGAGGCAGAGGCAGGTGAATTGCTTAAACCAGGGAGGCAGAAGTTGCAGTGAGCCAAGATCGTGCCATTGCCCTCCAGAGTGGGTGATAGACTCCATCTCAAAACAAACAAACAAAAAAATTAGCTGGGCGTAGTGGTATTCCACACCTGCAATCCCAGCTATTTAAGAGGCTGAGGCAGGAGGATCACTCGAGCCCAGGAGTTTGAGACTGTAGTGAACCATGACTATGCCACTGCACTCCAGCCTTAGTCTGTGTGACAGAGCGAGACCCTGTCTCAAAGAAAAAAAAAAAAAGTAAGTCCAGTCCCACCGTCTGGCCAAGAAAATCCGCAGGAACCCATCCTCAGGTCCTTTCCAAGTGCATCATATTTCCAGGTGGGATTCCCCAAGTTTATGGAAGACATGCTCATAATGTCCCCCAGGGGGAAACAGAGGGTGAGACAGACGGGGAAGGAAGGGCTCAGTCCTGTCCACCAGACTTCGCTACCCTGGACACCATCCTCGCCCTGTGCTTCTGTTGTCAAGCTGTGCTCAATCGGACCAGAACTTGTAGAGACTTCAAGGACACTAGGGACTCTCAACAACCACTTGCAAGTGACAAGCCAAACTGATGTGAGTAGAAAAAATATTGCCAACCCATCTCCAACTCACCATCCCTGGAACCTCAGTACACACCAGGCCCCTCTGTTCATGAAGGCAGGGGACCCCAGGTGGCAGGGGGGGAAGGTGACCTGGAGGACAGACTGGTGCACCCTCCAAAGAGTTCCTGGGGGCTGCTTCCACCAGAACAGTCTGTACTCCCCAAAGACCACTGGGGACCGAGGAGCAACTTTAGGAGGGGATTTTTCATGCCAACTTCCAGGTAAGCACACCTCCCAACAAAATCTTAAAGAAATGTAATAAGGGACGGGGCGCCTTGGCTCATGCCTGTAATCCCAGCACTTTGGGAAGCTTAGGCAGTCAGATCACCTGAGGTCGGGAGTTTGAGACCAGCCTGACCAACATGGTGAAATCCCCTCTCTACCAAAAATACAAAATTAGCCAGGCATGGTGGTGCATGCCTTTAATCTCAGCTACTCGGGAAGCTGAGGCAGAAGAATCACTTGAACCCAGGAGCCAGAGGTTGTGGTGAGCCTTTTGAGAGATTGGGCCATTGTACTGCAACCTGGGCAACAAATAGTGAAACTCCGATTTTAAGAAAGAAGGAAAGAAATGTAGTCAGGAGAAACGCCCATCCCCACGCCCACCCCCTTAGCTGGAATACCAAGCAACAGGAGCCTCACTTCTGCTTAGAGATCACAGCGTCTGCTATTATCATTTTACAAAACCCGGGTTCTGAGGGGACCGCAGAGTTCACATTATGAAAAGACCAGGATATACAGGTGCCCCCCGCCCATCCTGAGCCCTGAGCCTCAGTTTCTCCATCTGAAAAGAGCCCTTACTCTTTCCTCTGACTTGCTGAAGGGTGGACAGAGGTGGTACCAACGCCTTTTCCCTTGAACAAGAGTGCCCAAGAGAGACCGAGCGTAAGTGACCGAGCGGAACTGGGCTCCAGGCGCTGTGCAAAGTGCTTTGCAAGGACTAGCTCGCTTCACCCTCACGGGGGCCCGGGTCACGGGGACTCGCATAACCCCCGTTTTGCAAACGTGGAAATGAGGTTCAGAGAAGTGAAGCGACTAGCCCAACGGCACCCCGCGGAGGGAAGAGGCGCGGGCGCCCCAGTTACTCCATTCCAGCACGAAGACAAGGCTGCCTGGGTCCTGGTTTCCTCAGGCGGGGGTCAGGGGTCCGCTGATCCCCTCTAGTGCTCTGGGCAGCAGGGCCCAGGAGCCAAGGCGGCCCCTCGGTCCCTGCCACCGCCGTGGGCACCCCCTCCCCGGGACCCCCGCGGCCCCCGCTCACCTCGCGTATTTCGTCTTCTGGAAATCCAGCAGCCGGGGGGCGAACATCGCGGCGCTTCCATGGGAATCCGGCCCCGGGCTCAGAGCGCGGGCGCCTGGCAGAGCCTGGGGGATGCGGCGGCGGCAGCAGCAGGTTGGAGGGCGCGCAGCGGGGGCCGAAGGGACTGGGTCGGCACCCGAAGCCGGAGCCGGAGCCCGAGCCTGAGCCGGAGCTGTAAGCGCCCGGAGCCGCCGACGCCAAATCCCTAGCAGATGGTGGCGGGGGCGGGGCGGGGCGGACGGGCAGGCGGGGGGGCGCGGGGGGGCTCCGGGGCGCGCGCCGCCAATCGCCTGGGCCCGGCCCCCTCCCTCCCGCGACCCCGCCGCCTCTACCGGGGAGAGGCAGGGTGGGCTGGACAAGGGGATGGGGGAGGAAGGGATAAGAAAGTGGGCGTAAGGGGTTGGGGCGGGGCGGGACGGGGTGGGGGGGCGTCCTGACCGCGCGAGCTCGAGCCACCAATCGCCCAGGCCCGGGGCGGCCCTGTTCCTGGCCCCCTTTCCCCTTGCCCTCGCTGGGAGGGGGAAAGTGGGGGGCTACTGGAGTAGGCAATAGGAAGTGGTAGTAGGGGGAGTGGGAATGAACTGGGAAGTGGGGGGGGTGGAGTGCAAAGTTGGGGGCATGTCCCCCGGGGTTTCAGCCTTGGACCCAGAGTTACACTAGTTCTCTGGTTCTCTGGCTTCTCTGGTTCTGAGGCTTTCCGACTGGGACTGAACCATGATCCCAGCATCCCCGGGCCTCCATCTTGCTGAAAACCTACTGTGGGACATCTCAGCCTCCAACCCCAGCCTCCATAATCACAAGAGTCAATTCTCCAAATAAATCCTCTCTCACATATCTATCTTTTTTTTTTTTTTTTGAGATAGTCTCGCTCTGTAGCCCAGGCTGGAGTGCAGTGTCGTGATCTCTGCTCACTGCAACCTCCGCCTCCCGGGTCCCAGTTGAAGCAATTCTCCTACCTCAGCCTCCCACATAGCTGGGAATACAGGCACAAGCCGCGCCACCATGCCCAGCTAATTTTTGTATTTTTTAGTAGAGACGGGATTTCACCATGTTGGCCATTTTGGTCTTGAACTCCTGACCTTGTGATCCGCCCGCCTAGGTCTCCCAAAGTGCTGGGATTACAGGTGTGAGTCACTGTGCCCAGCATCTATCTTTTTAAAAAAAAAAAAAAAAAAACAGCTGGGGCGAGCCACTGCTCATGCCTATAATCTCAGCATTTTGGAAGGCTGAGGCAGGAGGATCGCTTGACGCCAAGAATTCAAGATCAGCCTTGGTAACATGGTGAGACCCCCCATCTATATAAAAAATTTAAAAATTAGCTGGGCATGGTGGTATGTACCTTCAGTCCCAGCTCCTCAGGAGGCTGAAGCAGGAAGATCACTTGAGCCCAGGAGTTGGAGGCTGCAATGAGCTGTGACGGGACCACTGCACTCCAGCCTAGGCCATAGAGTAAGACCCCATCTCTAATAAAAAGAAAAAGGCCAGGTGCATGTCTCACACCTGTAATCCCAGCACTTTGGGAGGCCAAGGCGGGTGGATCACCTGAGGTCAGAAGTTCCAGACTGGCCTGGCCAACATGGTGAAACCCCAATTCTATTAAAAATAAAACAAATTTGCCAGGTGTGGTAGTACACACCTGTAATCCCAGCTACTCAGGAGGCTGAGGCATGAAAATTGCTTGAACCCAGGAGGCGGAGGCTGCAGTGAGCCGAGATTGTGCCACTGCACTCCAGCCTGAGTGACAGAGCAGGACTTCGTCTCAAAAAAGAAAAAAGAGGAAAAAAAAAAAAAGAAAAACAGTGAAATGAAACAGAAGAAATGGCCTTTTGAGCACTGGTGCATAGTAAGGAGCAGTCACATTGTTGAAGTCTTGTTTCTGTTGTGTGTCTGGCATCTGCATGTATGTGTCCCAGCCAGGATGGGTAATGAGTTCCCTGCTGGGCATCACAAGTCACAAAACCAGTGAGACCTCGGATAGGAGAGATGAATGCCTCCTATGCCCTCCTGCAGATGAGGGAAACTGAGGTTGATGGGCTAGGGGTCCTTCCCAAGGTCACAGAGCCTGTGGGGGTAGGACTGCCCTGAGCCCAGTTCTCTGGGCTCTAGGCTGATTTCCCGACACAGAACTCCTGTTCTGGTGATTTCTCACACCTCCAGGAGACAGAAGTCAAACAGAAGGAAGACAAGCCAAGCCCTGCGCGCCATGCTTCTGCCCTGACCTTGACATCTACGACCCTTGCTCTGACCCCGCAGGTCCAGGCCTCACTGTCCACTGCACCGGGACACACACCTGTCCCCAGGTACCAGTGACACCTCTGCCCTGGCCAGGCCCAGGCTGCCACTGGTAGTAACCACAGCTCCCAGAAGGCTGGGGCTGGACCTGTCCAGGCCCCATGGCCTGCTGCCCTCCTCCCAGCCCCAGCCTGCTGTTGACCTTTAAGCAGACCTTGGCAGTGGAAATTTCAGGGCCCCAGAGGGGACCCCCAAAGTGAAACTCAAGCCCAGAAATGGATTTTCTTCTTCTCCAAGAGCAAAAGAAGTTGAATAAAAAATTAGTTACTATTTTTACTGCCGGGATCCAGTTGTTATGGCAACCAAGGGCCTGACTCCTGCTCAGGAGGAGGTGGCGTTGGAGTGGGATGAGGCAGGAGGCGGGGATGGGGCTGGGGCAGGCAGCAGCTGGGGACAGGCCTAGGGCAGGCAGCAGGTCCGCCCCTCCAGAAAGGAGTGTTCCCCCACCCCCTCACCTGATAGAGCTCACCTGACTGAGTTCCTAATGACTCTGTCTCCCTTCAGCCACACTGGCCTCCTGCCACCTCTGTGGGCTCCAGCTTGGCCCAGCCTGGTCACCTAAGACTCTCTCCACTACCTCTGAGAGTGGGTGGCCGTGCCGTCTCCAGGTGGAAACCGAGGCCCCTGTCTCAGGGGCAACTCACACTGAGTACATCAGCCCCATCAACCTCACCTAGCCAAAACTCTCCCTTCAGGCCAGGCGCGGTGGCTCACGCCTGATATCCCAGCACTTTGGGAGGTCAAGGCGGGTGGATCACGGGGTCAGGAGTTCGAGACCACCCTGACAAACACGGTGAAACCCCGTCTCAACTAAAAATACAAAAATTAGCCAGGCATTGGTGATGTGCGCCTATAATCCCAGCGACTCAGGAAGCTGAGGCAGGAGAATCGCTTGAACCCGGAAAGTAGAGGCTGTAGTGTGCTGAGATTGTGCCACGGCACTCCAGCCTGGGCAACAGAGTGAGACTCCATCTCAAAAAAAAACCTCCCCCTCCGTCCCTGTTCCTCATCTGCTCAACGTATCGAGGTAGCACCAGTAGCCACCAGGGCCAGGTTCATGGCACTTGAAAGTTATGCAAGCATGCTAGGCATGGTGGCTCACACCTGTAATCCCATCACATGGGGAGGCCAAGGTGGGAGGATCGCTTGAGGCCAGGAGTTCAAGACCAGCAGCATAGCGGGACCCCATCTCTACAAAAAATTAAAAATTAGCTAGGTGTGGTGGGTACACACCTATAGTCCAAGCTACTTGGTAAGCTGAAGTAGGATCCATTGAGCCCAGGAGTTTGAGGGTGCAGTGAGCTACAATCGTGCCACCACACTCCATCCTGGGCAGCAGAGCAAGACCCTGTCTCTAAAAAAATAAATTTAAAGGCCGGACATGGTGGCTCATGCCTGTAATCTCAGCACTTTGGGAAGCCGAGACGGGGATCATCTGAGTTCAGAAGTTCAAGACCAGCCTGGCCAACATGGTGAAACCCCAAAATACAAAAATTAGCCGGGCGTGGTGGTGTGCAACTATAATCCCAGCTACTTTGGGGGCTGAGGCAGGAGAATCGCTTGAACCCAGGAGGCAGAGGTTGCAGTCAGCCAAGATCGAGCCACTACACTCCAGCCTGGGCAACAGAACAAGACTGTCTCAAAAAAATAAATAAATTGTTTTAAAAGGAGAAAGATGGAAAAGGGAGGGGTTGGCTGGGGACTCAGGATTGGGGAGTGAAAAGTTACAAAACGCATGAAGCGGGCCTTGGTCCACGTGAACCCGTTTGCTAACGGTGCTTATCATAGGTTCCTGCCCTCCCATGGAGGCTGGGACACAGGGGCGCTCTCGTCCTGTGCTGCTGGAACAAACTGTAACTTCTGGCAGCCTTGAGTTTTCTTGGCAGGCACTTTACGAGGGACAGGGACCATCCTAGAGTTTCAGCCTTGAGCTGCTGAAAGCGAGGTTCATGTTTGTTCAAGTCTTTATGGGCCAAGGCCAAGGCCCAGCCAAGAAAGGGCTCAGAGGGGCCTGGCTGGAGTTTGGCCAAGGAGAGTGTCTTTGTTGGGGGAGGGAGGAGTGGCCTCGGGATGGGGAAACAAAGTTGCCTGGGCATTAGGGTCTGAAGGAAGTCAGGGATGTCTTCTAGCTGAGTCTTTTCAAGATGGCTGGAAGACAGGCAGGAGGGCAAGAGGGAGCAGGTGAGAAAAAGGCAGCCAAGTAGGTAAGTGCATTCCAAGCAAAGGGAACAGCATCAACAGCACCTGTGGACAGGTGTGCTGGCTCACACTTATAATCCAGCATTCTGGGAGGCTGAGGCGGGCAGATCACCTGAAGTCAGGAGTTCAAGACCAGCCTGGTCCACATGGCAAAACCCTGTCTCTACCAAAAATAAAAAAATTAGCCAGGCATGGTGGCAGTTGCCTGTAATCCCAACACTTTGAGAGGCCGAGGCAGGCAGATCACTTGAGGTCAGGAGTTCAAGACCAGCCTGGCAAACATGGCAAAAACTGGTCTCTACCAAAAATACAAAAATTAGGCCGGGCACAGTGGCTCATTCCTGTAATCCCAGCAGTTTGGGAGGCCAAGGTAGGAGGATCACGAGGTCAGGAGATCGAGACCATCCTGCTTAACACAGTGAAACTCCGTCTCTACTGAAAATACAAAAAAAATAGCCAGGTGTGGTGGCACATGCCTGTAGTCCCAGCTACAGGCTGAGGCAGGAGAACTGCTTGAACCCGGGAGGCGGAGGTTGCAGTGAGCTGTGGTTATGCCACTGCACTTCAGCCTAAACCACAGAGTGAGACTCTGTCTCAAAAAAAAAAAAAAATTAGCCAGGCATGGTCGCAGACGCCTGTAATCCCAGCTACTTGGGAGGTTGAGGCACGAGAATCACTTGATCCCAAGAAGCCGCGGTTGCAGTGAGCTGAGACTGAGCCACTGCTCTCCAGCCTGGGCGACAGAGTGAGACGCTATCTAAAAAACACAACAGCAAAAAGCCAAACAAAAATGCCAGCACCTACAAAGGCTCAGCGCATGCAGCAGTGTGGTGCAATTGGCATCCTTCTGGTTCCTGGGATTGGAGTCTGACCTCTGTCCTCCAGGTGTTGGGGAGGCGAGGAAGTAGGGGAACCACATACTCAATGCCACAGGAGGATGTGGCATGGGTGCTCCAAGAAGGTGATGCTGCCATTTAGGGCAGGAGCTGGGGGTTCCACGTTGACTTGGGAGATCAGAGAATGGAGATTCCAGGAGACAGAGACCAGAGTTTTCAAAGAAAAGGAGTAGGTGGTGGCCACCGTGGGCAGTGTCTAGGATCCTGGTTCCTGGCTGCTGATCTTACTCTGTTGTTGTTGTTGTTTTTGAGATGGAGTCTGGCTCTGTCACCCAGGCTGGAGTGCAGTGGTGTGATCTTGGCTCACTGCAACCTCCACCTCCCAGGTTCAAGTGTTTCTCCTGCCTCAGTCTCTTAAGCAGCTGGGACTACAGGAGCGCACCACCACATCTGGCTAATTTTTGTATTTTTAGTAGAGTTGGTGTTTCACCGTATTGGCCAGGCTGGTCTCGAACTCCTGATCTTGTGATCTGCCTGCCTCAGCCTCCCAAAGTGCTGGGATTACAGGCATGAACCACCGAGATCGGCCCTTTTTGTTTGTTTGCTTGAGAGAGTCGTCTTGCTCCGTCACTCAGGCTAGCGTGCAGTGGCACAATCTCGGCTCACTGCAATCTCTGCCTACCGGGTTCAAGAGATTCTCATGCTTCAGGCTTGCCAGAACCTGGGTTTACAGGTGTGCACCACCATGCCTACCTAATTTTTTGTATTTTTGGTAGAAACGAGGTTTCACCATGTTGGCCAGGCTGGTCTCAAACTCCTGATCACAAGTGATCCAACCGCCTCAGCCTCCCAAAGTGTTGGGATTACAGGTGTGAGTCACCAAACCCAGCCTGGCTGAGCTTCTTGACGATAATATCATATTTCATCACACCTAGGACACTATCACCTGTAAGATGCACGTTTCTCTTAGGTACTACTAAGAAAGAGAAATCAGGCCAAGCAAAGTAGCTCATATCTGTAATCCCAGCACCTTGGCAGGCCGAAGCGGGTAGATCCCTTGAGCTCAGGAGTTTGAGACCAGCCTGGGAATCAGAGCAAGACCCATCTCTTAAAAAAAATTTTTTTTTTAAATTTTTTTTGACATGAAGTTTTGCTGTCACCCAGGCTGGAACGCAGTGGCATGATCTCTGCTCATTGCAACCTCTGCCTCCCAGATTTAACCAATTCTCCTGGCTCAGCCTCCCAAGTAGCTGGGGATTATAGGCGTGTGCCATGATGCCCAGCTAAATTTTGTGTGTGTGTGTGTTTTTAGTAGAGGTGAGGTTTCAACATGCTGACAAGGCTGGTCTTGAACTCCTGACCTCAAGTGATCCACCCACCTTGGCCTCCCAAAGTGCTCTACAAAAAATTTTTAAAATTAGCTGGGTGTGTTAATCCCAGCTACTGGGGAGGCTGAGTCAGGAGGATCACTTGAGCCCAGGATGTCGAGGCTACAGATCACACCACTGCACTCCAGCCTGAGCAACAGAGCCAGACCCTGTCTCTATACAGAAACAAACAAAAAAAAGGCAGAAAGAGAAATCACTGGCAATTAATTTTGCCAACAATTTTATCTGGTACTTTTTCAAGCATTCAGAGAAGTTTAACAGAACTGTACCATGAACACACATATAGCCGCCTCCCAGATGCTACTACTGGCATCTGACCCTAATTGTCCCATCATGTATCTATCTGTCCCTTTATCCATTCATCAGTCCTTTTATTTTTTTAGACAGGGTCTCACTCTGTGTCCAGGCGGAAGCACAGTGGTGCTGTCTTGCAACCATGCCCGGCTAATATTTTGTATTTCTACTAGAGATGGGGTTTCACCACATTGCCTGGGATGATCTTGAACTCCTGGCCTCAAGCCATCCACCCACCTTTGCCTCCCAAAGTGCTCCCAAAGCATGAATGCATCACTGCACCCGGACAGCCAGATTATATATACATAGTTTTTTTGGGTTTTTTTGAGATGGAGTTTCACTCTGTCGCCCAGGCTGGAGTGCAGTAGTGTGATATTGGCTCACTGCAACCTCTGCCTCCCAGTTTCAAGAGATTCTCCTGCCTCAGCCTCCCAAGTAGCTGGGATTACATGTGCCCGCCACCACACCCGGCTAATTTTTTATTTTTAGTAGAGATGGGGTTTCACCATGTTGGCCAGGCTGGTCCTGAAATCCTAACCTCAGTTGATCGCCCACCTTG